GGGTTTTGGGGGGGGGGGGGTCGTTTGATTAAAAAAGGTAAGGGCGGATCTAGACTGTTGATCAAAATTGATTAACGGCCAAGATCTGATCCGGGTTGGGCCGGGTAGTTTTTGGATTTGGGCTGGGTGATTAGGAAATTAAATTGGGTTGGATTAGGGGTGCAAATTAGACTGAAATTGAAAATGAAATCTGGCTAGGTTTTAAATAGCCACTTTTCCCCATTTATTTTATAAAAAATAGCAAATTAATTTCTGGAAACAAATTAAAAGTACTAAATTAATTAATAATATATAAATATTAAATTAAAAATATTGAAATCAATTTTGTAATTATAAATGCAATTAAATCTAAAATAGGCTAATATTGCAATTATATGCAATTTAGCTTTAAAATACTAAAATAATGTACGAAAATTACCTTAGCTATATTTATATAAATATGAGAATTCAATAAATGAATTACCAAAATGCCAATTTTGGGAACACTTATTGGGGTTTTCTTGATAAAATAAGGCAATAAAATTGATTTTAAAAGCCTTTAAGATTAAGGAAAAATAATTAAAATATTTGTAAATACTTATATATGCATACATGTGCTATTTTGAAAGTATTTTGCATAAAAAAATATATAGGGAAAAATTCGGTATCAACAGCTAGCTGATGAATCTCATGGGCTATTCCATTTTTTTCTTGGCTGTAGATATGATAGGCAACCCATAGATCTATGGCTGAGGACATCGGCTACCACGTTCGCCTTCCCTGGATGGTATAAAATATAACTGTCATAGTCTTAAGTAGCTCCAACCATCTCCTTTGACGTAAATACAATTCCTTTTGCTTGAAGATAAATTGGAGGCTCTTCAAGATCCGTATAGATATCAACATGAATGCCATACAAGTATTGCCTCCACATCTTTAGTTCATGAATCATCGCGGCTAACTTTAAATCGTGGGTCGAATAATTCTTCTCGTACTTTCTTAGTTGTCTAGAAGCACAAGCTACAACCTTACCATGCTGCATCAACACAGAACCCAATCCAACGCCTGAAGCGTCACAATAGATAACATAACCATCGGTCCCTTCTGGAAGCGTTAGAACTGGTGTTGAAGTTAATATGTCCTTCAATGCCTCGGAACTTAGTTCGCATGCATCGGTCCATTAAAATTTGGCTCCCTTCTGAGTTCACTTATACGTGTTATTACTCACTGAGCTAGCGACTCATTTCCCATTACTTACTTATAGAGACAACATGTAACACAAATGAGTATTTCGAGTGTTAGAGTATACGAGTTGAAAATTCCTGGTGAGTCACGCATTTATTCGTGTGGGAGAAGATTTTTATTTATTTGTTATAACTTATTTATTTAAAACTCTTAGAGTCACTCCATAGTTATATTCATTAGTGTCATGAGTATACTGTTATTGATATAGACTTGTGACTCGTGTTAGACTTTCTTATCGTATTTTTGGAGATGGAGTTAGTATCATTGTGTTCGAAATACTTCGTTGATGAGGATTATAATTCGTTTTGGTGGATATTGGTTGATTGTGTCGTTGATTCTAAGACAGGTTTATTTTGGATGGTCCTAAAATAGGAAAAGCTCTATCCGATTTTTTGTAAAATACTGATGAGGCTTACTTGGGGGTACTTGCTCCTAAGCGTCGGTCATGATCCTAAATTGGATCGTGAGAATATTACAATGGACAGCACTTTTCTCACAGGAAAGTACAAATTGACATTTATGCAAAGTCCTATAATGTCAAAGTAGGGCGCATTATCAAAAAGAAAAATTATCCACTACCAACAGTAGCTCAACCACCCGCTGACTCTGAGGACATAGATGAATACACAGACGAGCAAATGGTTGTTGTTCAAGTCAATGCTAAGGCATGAAACTTGCTTAATAATGTCATTAGTGGAAAAGAGTACGAGAATATCTTAAGCTATGACACCGCCAAGTAAATGTGGGACAAACTAGAAGTTACCTATGAAGGAATCAGAAAAGTGAAAGAAACCCGGATGGATCTGTTGGTTCACGATTATGAACTCTTCCAGATGAAAGAAAGAGAATCCATTGAGGAGATGTTTGCAGGATTCGATAAAATCATTGGCGATCTGGAAGCAATTGGTAAACCCTACTCAAGTAGTGATCAAGTTCAAAAAATGCTGAGAAGTTTGCATATTACATGGTAGACAAAGATAGTTGCTCTAGAATCTCAAGATCTAGAAAAACTTTCATATGATGAACTACGAGGAGATCTTATAGCATTTGAGAAAATTCATCTCAAGAAAACTCGTCAGGAAGAAAAGAAGAAAATAGTTGCTTTCAAAACTATAACTAAAGGTCCTGAAAATGAGGTTGATGATGATCCAGAAGCTCTTGAAGAAGAAATTGAACATGATGGTTGATGAGAAGATACAGAAACACAAAGAAAGAAAGGATGTCATCCCGACGAACCAGGAAATACAATGAACAAGACAAAAATGACAAAAAATGCTATGAATGTGGAAGGTACGACCATGTTCAAGCTGAATGCCCAGAACTTAAAGAGAAAAATCTCCAGAAGATTCAATAAAAATAAATCCTTCGGAAGCTGGAGTGATGAAGGTAGTTCAGAACATGAAGAAATAGCAAATATGTGTTTCGTGGCCATTTTGGAAAATGACATGAACAAATACTCTAGTTCATTGTTGGACGTGATAAATATATTTAAATATTTTATATGCAAACTTTATCCTGATTTTTTTTTTCAATTTCTTCAAGCTTAAATAATAAAATTGTAGCTCAAGAAAAAATAGTAGAATTTGGATAGACTTGAATGTATGAATATTCAGTGCATTTACATGTTCATAAAATAATATGCTTCTTTGTGTGTATCGTATTTTTTAAGTAATAATTAAAAAAATATTATATTTAATATTCTCTGCTTAATGCGCGCGGGTATGAATACTGGTATATCTTGAATGGAGTATCAAACATACGGAACTCGGGTAGTCTTAGCTATATAGTCCTATGGCCCATTAAATTGTTAGGCCTATATTATAAGAACTTTCGTGCTATATTTTGGAAAAGAAATAAATTAGTGTTGTATATGAGCCAATGTGCGGTTGGGATTAGCTCCAGTATAAGGCTCTAAGATTCAACAATATGTTTGATAAAAGCCATGTGTACATCTAAATAATAATATTATAAATGACTCTTTGCCACCACCTAAAAATCAGCAGCCCCACCACCCCTTGAAGTAAATTTCAAAGACCAAGTTCCAACAGTGATCCCTCTCAACGCAGATTTATTTGATGGAATAATGGTCGATGTTGATGACTTGGATGGCAATAAAGAACCACCTCTACTGGTAACCAATCTTGAAGAACGACAAGTGGGACCAAAAGATTTGGTTGGTAATAAAGAATGATAGACCATCTTGAAGCATCACAAGAGGAATCAAATGAAGAATGGTGCAGAGCTTGTAGGTCAGGGAGGAAATCAGTGTACATACCTATTTGCAAGTTTCAACCCTTCATTCCCAGTGATAACATATAGGAGACAACCGCTGATCGGGTGGCTCTGAAAGTATCAAGGGAATCGATAAAAATAACAACTTCTTAACAAATGAGCTTATGAGACAAATATCATTACAACAGATCCCGTTGGAGGCTGTGCAAGATTGATAAGGTAAAGAGATGCAACAACAGAACAACTAAATGTGATAATACAATAGAGGGATCATTGCATACAACAACAAAGTTCAATCATTGACACTAGAATTATTAAAGGATCTGCTGTTGGAATTTTTAGGTGCAAGCACTTACTCTTGGATATCTTTATGAAAGAATACCGCAACACCATAGATCGAACAGATACCAAACCAAATCCAATAAATATTAGACCAACTAGTAGATGGAGTATAACTGATAGGAGCACCATAAATGGTAAACGAGATGGCAGCTGAAGGAAAACATATTGGAAACCCCTTGGATGCAGTAAACCCGTTAGAAAACCAAAATAAATTATAAAAACCAACATCATCAAACATCATTTGTAAAGTGGTAGATATTCGAAAGGATCAAATGCAATTAATGTGATAGAAATTAATATTGTTCAGTACGTCGCAAGAAAAATGTCATCAAATAAGTAAATTAAAGAGAACAAAACTAAAGAGATAATTTATATAATAATCAAAATGAATCGTAAACAATAAGAGAAAAAAGATGAGAAGGGAGTCGATCTGTAAAATTAAGAGATGAATTGTAAAAGAAAAAAATCAGATTGAATAGTAAAAAAGGATCAGATTCAATTAGAAGAGGAAAAACGTAAAAGAAAATTGAATTTAAGCAGAATTGGTAAAATAAGTAAGAGGAAGAACAAGATAAGATAGTAGATCTGAATTGGCAAAGGACTGGCTACAAAAGGTAGAAGATGGGGAGGGAGGCGATGTGAAAGGAAAGGCTCAAATAAGGAAAATGAATATTGAATAGAATACCAAATATCATGAAACTCGAGTAATCTTAGATATGTATTTCATATGGCCCATTGAATTGTCATGTTTATATTTGTAACGACCCGATCGGTCGTTTGAGCTTTTGCACTTCGCTCATCAGTTCTCAGGCATGACTAGCCCCGTGTGATATATTATGACTTATGTAAATCGTCGGTTTTGGTTTTCAGGGTAATCGGAATAAATTTAGAAAAACAGTTCTCAGTTTGAAGTTTAAAATTTGAAAGGTTTGACCAAGTTTTGACTTGTTAGTATATGATCTCGAATTTGAATTTTTATGATTCGGTTAGCTCCATTAGGTGATTTGGGACTTAGGAGCGTGATCGGAATGTGCTTTGGAGGTCCGGAGTAAATTTAGGCTTGAATTGGCGAAATTGAAATTTTGGCGTTTTCCAGTTGATAGGTGATATTTGGATATAGGGGTCAGAATGGAATTTCGAAAGTTGGAGTAGGTCCTTTGTGTCATCTGTGACCTGTGTGCAAAATTTCAGGTCATTCGGACAGGGTTTGGTAGACTTTTTGATCAAAAGCGGAATTCAGAAGATTTTGGAACCTTAGGCGTGAATCCGATGTTATTTGGTCGATTAGATGTTGTTTGAGGTGTTTTGAAGATTGGTATAAGTTTGGATAGTGGTATATAACTTGTTCGTGCTTTTGGTTAGGGTCCCGGGGGCCTCGGGGTGATTTCAGATGGTTGACGGAAAGTTGGAGTTGGGGAGTTGCAGCTGAAGCTGCTGAAGTCTGTCATAACCGCACCTGCGGCTTGAGGACCGCAGGTGCGAGCCTGCAGAAGTAGAAGACTAGTTGTAGATGTGGAAGTTGGCGTAAAGGGCTGAAGCGCAGGTGCAGATGATTGGTCGCACCTACGAGACCGCAGGTGTGGATGATTGGTCGCACCTACGAGACCACAGGTGCGGAAGGTGAGGCGTAGGTGCGAACTTCTGGTTTTAAGTGAAAACCGCAGATGCGGTACCGCAGGTGCGGTGAAGGGACCACAGGTGCAAAAAGCCTGGGTCAGAACATATATATTTCACCCTTCACGATTTTGAGTGGGTTTTCACCATATTTCATTTGGGAAGAAGTTTTGGAGAGCTAATTGAAGGGAGAATTCAAGAGGGTTTCTTAGAGGTAAAGTCATTGGTCCCTAAACTCGTTTTGATGATATTGTTTTAAGGTTGTAAGCTTGAAATCTATGGGAAAATCAATAGCAAAATTGGGTTTTAGGGCTTGAAAATTGGAGACCTAAAATTAGGGATTTGAGGGGTCATTTGTGGTTGGATTTTGGTACTTTTGATATGAATGAACTCGTGGGGGAATAAGGATTCCATTGATGTGATTTTTATCGGATGTCGAGACGTGGGCCCGGGGTTCGGGTTTGGCTAATTTCGGGATTTTTGATGTAAATTTGTTATTTTCGAGTGGGCGTTGTTTCTTTAGCATATTTTGATGGTATAAATCTATTTTTGGTTAGATTTGGAGAATTCGGAGGCCAAGTCAAGAGGCAAAGGCATCACGGGCTAGAGTTTGGATCGGATTGAGGTAAGTAATGATTGTAAATGATTGTCCTGAGGGATGAAACCCCGGATTTCACATCGTTGTGCTACTTTGAGGTGACGCACACACTAGATGACTAGCGTGGAGTCGTGCACTATTGGGGATTGTGACTTAGTCCGTCCCATATGACTGTTAAGTCACGTATTTGATTGGAAACTGTTTGATATCATTGTGTTTTGGAAATTTTTACTATGTTTTGGGTTGAATGCTATATTTGGGCTTCGTGCCAACTGTTTTGGACCCTTAGGGGATTCTTACTACTATTCCTCACTGTTTTGACTTCATATTTGTACTCAGTCATGCTGTTATTCTACTGTTTTAATAACTCAACCATATTTACTCCGTTTTGTTATTTTAAATGATATTTCTGGCTGAGCATCATGTTTTACTGTTGCCCGAGTAGCTTGAGAGATTTCTGACTGAGTGAGGCCGAGGGTCTGTGTTGTATGGATACTATGGGATCGGGCTGCGCGCCGCAGTAGTGTTGTACTGATTCACGATTTTAAGGTCGAGGGCCTGATTTGTTATGCCACGAGGTGGCTTGATGTGAGGTCGGGATCATGTTTGATTATGCCACGAGATGGGATGTTGCCCGAGGGGCTGTTGTTGTTTTATATTGTTGCCTGAGGGGCTATTCTTGATCCATGTTTTGCCTGAGGGGCGGTTCTTTATTTATGTTATGCCTGAAGGGCTGATTACGAATGATTGTGAGGTAGCCCTAGGGGTTGGTCTATTGATATTATACCCGAGGGGCGGTTTATGGTATATATGTTTTGCCCGAGGGGCTGTTTACATTTCTATCATGTTTACTCACTGTTTTATCACTCGTTTGAAACTATTGAAAATTGTTTTAAAAGGTTTTACCGAATCTAAGCATGATTTACTAAGTAAGTTATTTCTGTACTGTATTGGAAATGTCCTGCATTTGTTGTAGCATTTGACGTGGTTTATGTGTTTTCTTACTGCTCAGTTTTCATTTACTTTTATCACTTACTGAGTTGGCATACTCACATTACTCCATGTACCTTGTGTGCAGATTCAGGTATTTCTGAACCCGGTAGCGGGTATTGATTGCTTAGTGGCAGAGTCATTGGAGTTAGCAAGGTAGTTGTCCGACGTTCGCAGCCCTGCTCTTCTCCCTCTTGTATCCCTTATATTGTTTCAGTATATTTTCAAACTCTTCATTATATTCAGACCTTAGTAGATGCTCGTGACTTGTGACACCCTGATTTCGGGCTTGTGTATTTATTCTGCACTGTTCATTTAGACTTATAATATGAGATATCTGATTAATTAAAGGCTTAAAAATGGTTATTATTTATTACATGATTAATTCGGTAGTTGTGTCGGCTGGCCTAGTTTCACGATAGGTGCCATCACGACCAGGTCAGTTTTAGGGTCGTAACAAGTTGGTATCAGAGCCTAGGCTACATAGGTCTCACAAGTTATGAGCAGGTTTAGTAGAGTCTCGCGGATCGATACGGAGACGTCTGTACTTATCCTCGGGAGACTGCAGAAACTTTAGGAAAAACTTCACATTCTTGAATTCTTATCATGCGTCCTTGATTCAGCTTGAAATGTAACTCTTTAAATTCCTTCCACGCGTTCGTATGCATGCATGAGCGCTCGATATCAGTTGTGCATTGACGGCTTGTGATTCCCTGATCGAGAGGTGAGATATGATTTATGTGTGTTGATGTTGGGCCAGTATGTAGGGCTTGAGGTAGGGCCTTGCCTGTAGCTTGATCCCTGAGTTGTTGATTGCGCGAGCGCGTGTTTTTGGATTTATGTGTTCGATAGTGTCCCAATTAAGGGAAGTGATGACTAGATATACTCAAAGCACAATTAACAAAAGTTCAAAAGAACTCTCAAAGTATGATATACTTAATCAATAATGTAGTGTCTTATGAATGAGAAGAACTCCCTATTTATAGGAGTACTAAGGCATAAAAGTCCTTAAAATTAGGTATGGTGGTTGCTAAGGCATACAAAGTCATTACAATTAGGTAGGGTGGTTGCTAAAGAGTAAGAAAAGTCATTAAAATTAGGTGGAGGCGGCCAAGACCCTTTGGGGCAGATTTGGGCCTTAAAAAAACTAGTTTGGGCCATTGGTTTGGACTCCAATTGGGCTCATTTTGTAACACCTCCTTTTGGACCTCTTTTAAGCTCATTTTGAGCCCATTTGGTGGACTTCAAGGGCTGATTTGAGTGACCCAATCTTCCTTCTCTTGGACTTCAGTTTGAGCCACCAAATAATTGTAAAACTTAGGTAATTCTTCTCCTTTGGGCTTGAGCTCTTCCTCTATAGTTAGAAGCTTCTTTATTTGCCATTGAAGTCCAACAACCTTAGTCTGCAATTCTTTAGCTTGAGATCTTGTAAATGGCCTTCTTGGAGCTTCCAAAACTCTATCCTCCTTATCAGTGATCTCCTTATCAGTGATGCTATCATTCCCCTCTTCTTGAAAAGAATTCGTCCCCGAATTCGATCCTACGTCAAACAAAGACAAGTCAGCAACATTGAATGTAGCACTTACTTGAAACTCACCAGGAAGGTCCAGCTTCTAAGCGTTGTCTCCAATCCTTTCAAGGACTTGAAATGGACCATCTCCTCTAGGATGCGGCTTTGACTTCCTTTTAGAAGGAAATCTCTCCTTTCTAAAGTGAACCCAAACTAAATCTCCAGGTTTAAAAATAACTTGTTTTCGACCCTTATTCTTTCTCAAGGAAGTTTGCTTATTTTTCTTCTCAATTGCAAGCCTTGTTTGATCATGAATTTTTTTCATCATCTCAGCCTTCGTCCTACCATCAAAATTAGCAATATTATTAGTAGGTAATGGTAATAAATCAAGTGGAGTGAAGGGATTAAAGCCATAAACAACCTCAAAAGGAGACATACCTATAGAAGAATTGATTGTTGTTCTATTGTAAGCAAATTCAATCATAGGCAAGTGATCTTCCCATAAAGTTAATTTACCTTTCAAAATAGCCCTCAACATGTTTCCTAAGGTTCTATTAACTACTTCAGTTTGTCCATCAATTTGTGGGTGACAAGAAGTAGAAAACAACAATTTAGTGCCTAACTTCCCCCAAAATACACGCCAAAAGTGGCTCAAAAACTTAGCATCTCTATCACTAATAATAGTTCTAGGTATACCATGCAATTTTACAACCTCTTTTACAAAAAGATCAGCAACATGTGAAGCGTCATTAGTCTTTAAACAAGGAATAAAACGAGCCATCTTGGAGAACCTAACCACAACAAATATACTATCCTTACCATACCTTGTTCTAGGCAGACCTAACACAAAATCCATAGAAATATCAATCCAAGGTGAAGTAGGAACAGGTAATGGCGTGTAAAGACCATGTGGTAACACTTTAGATTTAGCTTGTTTATATTCCA